AAAAGTTGAAGGACAACTTGACTTGTTTAAAATTTTGCAAGTAATGATAGATTTTTAGCGTTATATTCACCGTTATATAAAGTTTATTAATCATCTATTATGTTCTTATAAAACATGTTATTCTGATTTTAAAATCTGATTGAATCACATGATTTTATTGTAAAATTATCAGCGTATCACTTGTATTGACTTCTGAATTAATGCACCAAGTTATTGAAAGCCACATGTTATTGAAAGCCACTGTGCTGTTGATGGGATAATCTAGACATCTGCTACCTGAACAAAAAAACCAACATGGCCTGATAATCGAGTTTCAGGCGGTTTGTTCATGTACACCATTTGGCGCGGATCAAGGTAGGGTTTGGTTTCTCAAGACTGGTATTTTATGTAGTAGATTTGTCTTTATTTGAAGGAATATAACAAATTTGTCATTGTCAACATTATGACTTGGTCAACATTATGACTTGGTCAACATTATGACTTGGTCATTTTAGTAGATAAAAAAGCACACTGGCCATATGCTGTGTAGAGCTTGCAATAGTATATTATATGGCTGGGCAATATGACAATATATGTCATTATTGTGATAATTATGTCACAATACAATACAGTATGCTTTTATGAACATATCCTGGATATTGCCATACTTGTAGAACACTGACCAACTGCATGTTTTGTTATAAAGAGAGCAAACAGAGCATAGAGAGCTTGCGAGTGTGCATGTGGGTTTGGTTCAGGCTTGATTTCAAATTTAGCAACACCATTCTGGCCTAGTTGGTTTGGGTCTCAAAATTGTGGGTGCATGTTGGGTTCGGGCTTCAATTTCATGCCCATGCAGATGTCTTGCATGGTCTTCAACATCTTATTGCCTTTTTTAGGTGCATTTTAAAACACTCAGCTTTATATTTAATTATCTTCCCTGGTAAGAGAAGGTTTTGCCTAAATAATGATTTGACAGTTTTCATTTCCAAGCTATTATCAAAAGCACATGCTGAAAATCTTGTGACCCAAGTGGTTTACACACCTGAGTGCTGTCAACACTGCAAGGAGATGAAATCTTCTGTTTTTTTCTAAAGAGTGATTTTTTTTTGGCATTATTTTGCTGTAAATGCTGAAAATTGCAGGATCTAAACAGCACATGAAATTTCTCCAAACTTTTAACAGGCAGTGTGTATATGTCCCCTACATCGGGTCATTCCACACTACACTGACCACAGTGAGGACACGCACCTTGGCACTCAAGGGGGGGTGTTCACTTCACACACTGTTGACCAGAAATGATGGTGGGGCTGATGAGGAACAGAACTCATCTGGCCTGCCAAGAACACTTCATCTCCTCAAGCAGCCCTGTGAATTTGAGGGGGATTATGGAAGGACTACTGAGATTAGTGTGTCTTTTAGTGGGAAAAAAAACGAGAAAAACAAAGCAAGGGTTGTTTTACACACGCTGAAGCTTCAGATCTCTCTCAGAGGAGACACAGCCTCAGGTAGATTTGCTCAACATTTCTTACATTATTGACGGCGGTGCAGATTTATGGGGAGCAATAACAGGTTGCCTCGCATTGTTTTAGCCGCAGTAGCCCTTATAGGAAGAGCTGTCATAGGTTGGTGTGTTATAAGCTCCTCCATGGCCAATTCTGCTGTGATCTAAGCTGTTTTTTTTTTTCTGTATTTTGAGTAGTGGAGAAATGCAGTCTGTTTTGTGTGTGTGTTTGTGTGCTTGTGTGAAGGACACAGGGAGAGCAGACACTGTCTCTATCTAATGCTGTGCTCATGTAACACTCAATAGTGTTTGGGAGATGTGTCTGACAGAACAAACATCGCTTAATGCTTTCTGTCTGAGAGAGGCTGGGCTGGATATTTAAAGCTTTAGAGCTCACATACTGAGTTTCTCCCATACCTCCACTGAGCCACAGTGTCTACTACAGTCATTCTCAACTGGTCTTGCCTCTGCAACCACATTTATCTACATATACAGAAAAAAGCATATTCAGATTCAAAGTGTTATTTATTTGAGGCCATGCTGAGAAATGCTGCTGTTGTTTGCTGTGCATGTGTTAGTGTGTGGTTTCTATTTATTCACTTATTTTGAATGTTGCCCTACGTGGTACTGTTTCGTGTTAGTCTACTATTGGCATGTTTGAGTTTAACTGCACTTTGCCTTGGTGTTTAGTGCGGGGATGCACAACTCTGGTCCTGGAGGGCCGGTGGCCAGCACAGTTCAGTGATTTCCAAACACAAACCCACCTGATTACATTTATCTGTTAATTGCCAGGTTTAGTGAGTGGGTTTGAGTAGGGAAACCTCCAAACTTTGCTGGACACTGACCCTCCAGGACCGGAAATGTGCATCCCTGGTTTAGTGAGAAGCTCGATGAAGAATTTCTTTGAAGAAATTTCTTAGAAGAACGATCTTTGATGAATATACAGTACTGTGCAAAAATTAGAGACCACCCCAAAAAGCCATTAAGTACAAGTCAATTTATTTATTTTTTTCAGTCAGAGGAAAAAAAAACATCAAACAGATTTAACAGAAAATTCTGCAGAATCCTCAACAATTTAATATTTTTTTCATTCTTTACACTCAGTATACTCTCTTTTACTTTGTAAAGAAATCTAAAGATGTTTTTCCACACTGTCAGTCTTTTGGTTGCACTTTCTGCTTCTCATGATAATCCCAAACACATTTCATGATGTTATTCTGAGAACACACACAGCTTACCTTTTTTTTTCTTTTTTGTCTGTTTCCTTTTCTCAGTAACACTTCTTGGCAGCTACACATCCTTTCAGACTCATAGTATTGAGTTATCTTCTCACAGTGGAAGGATGGACGGAAACACCTGTTAATTCTTTCAGATTTGAAGCAAGAGTGGAGCTTGATTTTCTCCTCACAGATGAAAGCTTTAAGTACTGTTTATCTGATGGTGGCAGTTTTGGTGGTCTACCAGGTCTTGCATGGTTGTTAGGAGTCCCAATTTCTTTGTATCTTTTAATCATTGTTAAAACTCCAGTTTTGGAAACTCCTGTTTGTCTTTCACTTATCTACGATTGTCTTTCCCTTTCCTTCTGCAAGTAGATTATCTTACATCAAATCTCCTCAGAATATCTCATTTGTACTGAATGGCTGTCGTAACTGGAAATATGGGCCGTGACCCACCAGTTGAGAACAAGTACTGTAGAACAAGGTTATTTAAAGAACTGAAGATTGTTGTTTTTGTTTCACAGTTTTATTAAGCTGATTTCTAATTACCTGTTCTTTATGGGAGGCAAATCCAGCCAAAAAAGAAATTAAAATTAAAACCATAAAATGAAAATGCAAACCTCTTTTTGCCATTTCTTTTTCCAAACATCTGCGCAAATATCCTTCCAAAATTGAAAATGAAATGAAATGCCTACATTTGCAATTTCATTTTTCACATGAGCACGAGCCATTTGTGACAAAAATAAAAATAAATGCAAAACAGCTATTTGTCATTTCATTTTAGTCGTTATTCTGGTTTTCATGGGCAAATCTAAAATGAAAAAGCTAATAGAGAAAAGAAAATCCAAGCTTCACTTTGGCTTTGGCTTTTCTCCATGAAGTGCAGAATATGTGTCAAAACTAAAACCAAAAATGCAATGTTTACATTGTTATTTCTTTTTCACGGCAATCGGCTGCATATCTGACAAAATGAAAATGAAAATGCAAAACGGATAAATCAACAGCAAAGTGACGGTTTGTGATTCAGTTTTCGGCGTCGACGTGCTTTAGGTGTCAGAATGAAAAGGCAAATGCAAACGAACATCAGCGCCACCTGCTGGACATTTACTTTACATTTTCCACTTTTCGATTTCATTTTCAAACTGACCAACATGCAAATATATGTTAATTAGCACTGGGCCGGGCTACAGGGTACATTTTGGGACATCCTCAGACCTCTGAGTCAGAGTGGCATCATTCCTCAAGCTAAACGACTTTGAGTCTCGAGAAAAACCATCGTCATGACTCAGATCTGGTGAAACTGAACGTCAGACCAAACGGCCTCTGAGAAAAGGTATCAGACCAAACGCAGGCCTGGTCGAGCACATAGTGGTTCATATAAGTTAGAAAACTATTATGTATCTCGATATAAATGCCAGTACAACATTTCCAGTTTTTTTCTGATGGTGTTTGTTCTGATGTTCTCAAAACTCAGAACTCAAAACTCACATTTTTCTCGAGACTCAAAGTCGTTTAGCTTGAGGAATGATGCCGTCTGACTTGGAGGTCTAACGCTGTCCTAAAATGTACCCTGTAGCCCCGCCCAGTGCTAATTAACATATATTTGCATGTTGGTCAATTTGAAAATGAAATCAAAAAGTGGAAAATGAAAAGTAAAAGTCCAGCAGGTGGCGCTGATGTTCGTTTGCATTTGCCTTTTCATTCTGACACCTAAAGCGCATCGATGCCGAAAACTGAATCACAAACTGTCACTTTGCTGTTGATTTATCCGTTTTGCATTTTCATTTTCATTTTGTCAGATATGCAGCCGATTGCTATGAAAAAGAAATAACAATGTAAACATTGCATTTTGGTTTTAGTTTTGACACGTATTCTGCACTTCATGGAGAAAAGCCAAAGCCAAAGCGAAGCTTGGATTTTCTTTTCTCTATTAGCTTTTTCATTTTAGATTTGGCCGTGAAAAACCCAGAATAACGACTAAAATGAAATGACAATTAGCTGTTTTACATTTATTTTTATTTTTGTCACAAATGGCTCGTGCTCATGTGAAAAATGAAATTGCAAATGTAGACATTTCATTTCATTTTCAATTTTGGCAGGATATTCGCGCAGATGTTTGGAAAAAGAAATGTCAAAAAGAGGTTTGCATTTTCATTTTATGGTTTTAATTTTAATTTCTTTTTTGGCTGGATTTGCCTCCCATAGTTCTTGAACCATAATTCATTACCTCATCAAGTACAGGTTAACTTAGTTCCTGACTGATTCATGTGGTGTGCTTTGTCTTTATCTCTGTGTTGCAGTTCCAGGCATCAGTGGACGAAGGTTCTACGGGCGTGGTGGTGAATCTGACAGTGGATGACCGGGATGACCCTGCCACAGGAGCCTGGAGAGCTATATACTCCATCATCAATGGGGATCCCAACCAGAGCTTTGAGATCCATACAAATCCTGACAACAACGAGGGCATGCTGTCTGTGGTAAAGGTACATACCCCGTCCTCTCTATTCAAAACAAATGATCTCAGATTTGTGGTTCTTAATCTTTTTGAGCTATGGTCTCCTTAAAAATTAAGACCTCAATGTGCTCATCAGAGGGGACGTGGACCCCTCAGCACTGTAACATTGTCTATTTCTGTTGTAAACACATGCTACAGTGTAGCCTCTGCTGTTATTGCTTTGTTCCAGTCAAAGAATTAGTAGCATTATCAGAAGGTGGCTACCAAGTACTGGAAGAACTTGGCCTTGTTAATCAAAAGCGATATGTCTAATGCTGGAATGTCTGATGTGTTTGGTGCATTGATAATGATGTTTTTCGTTCTGCTTTTGTTCCCTGTCTTCTTCCCAGCCTTTGGACTATGAGAGCACCATGTTTCACACTCTGCTGATAAAGGTGGAGAACGAGGACCCTCTAGTACCTGATGTCATTTACGGCCCCAGCTCCACAGCCACTGTGTACATCACAGTTCAGGATGTCAACGAAGGACCTGTCTTTTTCCCCGATCCTCTGATGGTCACCAAATCGGAGAACATCCCAGTAGGCAGCTTTGTGGCCGTGCTCAATGCCACTGACCCAGACTACCTTCAGGTCCAGAGCATAAGGTAAGGCGATGGTTTTATTATCACGAGACATCGTTCAAGCAATTCTGAACTTGATTTTCTTCGCTGTTGTATTGTTTTTCCCTTTTGAAGGAAAGTGGCATTTGGAATTCCAGTTCCGCTTTGCATTGTGTAAACATGTGTGAATAGATGTTAGTGTATTAAAGTTACCATACCAGATATGAGATCATACATCAGAGACAGAATGCATATGTAATAATGCGGATGAGACAATGCTCCCAGAGTGCAAATGCAGACAGTAACAGACGAAAACAGATATTTTTAGCATATTTACAAGCCCTGGAATACATTTCACCTTCAAAAGCTCTTGGTTGAGCGAGTGGATTGTCTGCTCGGTTAAGTTCACTTTGGAGTTTGACGAGGTGGATTACAATGACACCGCAAACAAATCAAAGCTCGAGACGAGCGTGATACCACGGTCTCTGCTTCTCAGCCATCTCCCCATCTGTCGATTCTCACCTCACCATTTTTCACTGTCCTTCTGCTGACAGTCTTACTGTTTTCTCCAAGAAAATGTTAGCCCATTGCTCTGCATCAAAGATTTCAACCATCTGCGTGGACTATTGTTTCATTGCCTGGGTGCATGATAGACCATTTTTCTAGAGCTGCAGTCACTCAAATAGATTCTGAAGTGGCAGAAAGATCATTGCATTTACTGTGTGAGGTGAGGAAATCTTTGTTATTTAACCATCTTGGTGCACAATTACTTTTACTGGCACAGTGAAATCCTTTCACAAACACATAGGAAGACTTTTCATTTAATCCGAATAATTCCCTGGCAGTGTGTGAGGTCTATTAGTTTTAAAGTGTTTTCAGTCAGTTAATGACCTGATGGCTGTTCTAGAATGTCATTGAATCAGCATGTAAATTAAAAAATTCTCAAAGCTGCTTTAGAAATCTTTTGCTTGGGTCTGTTCTTTCACTGTGAAGCACTGACTTTGCAGTTTGAAACCTTTCACACTTAAGAGAGACGTTCAGATTTTTTTGCACGATACCTTAAATCCCCTGACTGTAAGTAGATCATGGCCAGTCATTTCAGATATGATAATTGCACTTTAATAAGACATTTCTAGCATTTTACAAGCAAATGTTGGTGCTGAAGTGCGACTGGTTAAAGAAAAACAGTTTAATGAATCGAGATCCTAACTGTGGTCTGTGCTTCCATTATTACAGTTATGTGCCTGGTGGCATTTTATGAGCAGCATTCTTATGACTATTTCCCTGTTGGGGTAAGCAGTGTAAAGCAGTTTTGAAAGAAGTTGCCCCCTCTGTGACATGATTGAGCCTTTCAGAGTGAGATACAGTCACTGGCTTTTAAAAAAGTTTGTGAAGTTCAGAATTAAAATGATAGAAATCCTTGTATGTTTGTTGATGGATACTAATTTGTTGTGCTGGCTTTGTTTTGGTTGCAGCCTTTCCTCTCAAAGTCAGTGGTTCTTGGCTAAATTGAAGGGCCCATACATTATTTAATTTATTTTTTTTTAGATTTTTTTCCCCCCACTTATAACAATTGTGTGGTTTATGACCCATAAACAGTCACAGTTCCTTTTTACATGACATCTGACTTGTAAGACTACCTTACACCAAATGTAGTTGATTTTCTAAGACTTGTTTGTTGTCTGAAGTTTGCTTCTTTAGTTTTGCTTTAGTGTTCTGGGGTACTGTAGCTAAAACGTGATTGAAATCTTTCATTGTTTCATTTCAAATGCAAAAAAAAGTGCATTATCCAGTTGCTTACACTCTGCACTGTTTTTCCTCTTAACCTCAGGACTCATCTGTCTTACATACCTCAGATAGAAACTCGTTTATTCAGTCCAGGTTACTCCCAAAGGTTCCATAAACAACTTTTTTGGTCGCTTAACAAGAGCTTTCACTTAGCTAGTAATTGGATTGTGTACAGAACATCTTAGAATAGACCCCTTTCGTTTTCAAGTGGGTCCTCCTTAAAGCCCTCCTGGGGTCACTCTATTTTCAGGTTAATACAAATAGCAGCCTGTTTCTGATCATTTCTTTCACCTCAGCCCTAATTCACCCCAGTCTCCCTGACATTACATTATTATGTGTGAGAGCTCAGTGTAATCTGTATGCTTTATGGGATCGGGGGCTTTAAGTGGTCTGCTGGGATTTGCAGTAAACGTTGAGCACGTTGGTGTGCTCCCATGATCATTCTTCTGGATCTACGTCCTTAGTCAAGGCTCCTCACCATGAACTTGTGCATTTCTCTCTCGTATTTCTCCCTCTTTCTCTCTTCCTCCCTAGCTCTTTCCTACTGTAAATCTGTCGTCTGCCTGTGGCAGCGTCACCTCTTTTGATCTCCCTTTGCCAATGAAAGGGCCTTTGAAGTGCCATAGCTTACACCTGAGGCTACAGGGAGCAAGAGAGGAGAGCAACAGATTGACACAGAGAGAGGAAAGATGAAGGGGAGGGACAGAGGGAGGAAAGTAAGAGAGGAGAGGATAAGAAGGCCATTCAGATAATCTTCTTCAATATGTTTATGAATTTGCTCATTGAATTCTGCTCATGAAAATATTCCACTGAATTGCTCATTTCTGCATATTCGTCAGAGTCCTTCACTGCTGCTAGATAGAACATCCTCAGTGGAGAATGTAAGGCAGTTTTGTGTAGGTAAGCTCTTTCGGGACTCAGTGCAGGAATTCGCTGTGTGATGCACATAAGTAATGAATGCAAGAGAATTTCAAGATTCATGATGTGCGTCTTTGCGTTTTTTAAGGTAAATGTGGGAATGATGTGTACCCAGCAGTTTTGCTTTTCCATATAAGTGCACTTACGTTTCTTTTCTATATGTGAGAAATAAAACAGCAGTAATTTACCCACTGAAAATTGCTAGACAAACTTCTAAGCCAGGGGTCGACAACCCAAATGTTAAGAAGAGCCATTTTATCAAGTTTCGACAAAAATCTAACCACCTTGGGCGCCACAACATGTCCATTCATGTCCATTTTATTTAAGTAAAGTTTTACCATCTTGGCTGTAAATATGTCTCATTATGTACTAATGTCTTAGTTTAGGCTACAAAATATAATGTAAACAGAAATCCATGCTTACTTTGTTCTGTTGAAGCTTTAGCTCAGCTGTAGCCGCTTTTCTTGCATCTCTGGCAGGAAACTCAGAAGTAGAACAGTTTCTTGTAAAATGTCTCTTAACATTCTGTTTTTTACGAGGCTGAAGTCAGCTTCTCATTTGCCAGCTTCTTGTTGGAATTTTCGGACTCCTTCCGAAATTAATCTAATGATTACGAGCGGGTTGAAAGAGTATTCAAAGAGGACAAAGAGAAACTTGGTGAAGGACGGGTCTTCCAAGACTGTAAGTGGATTATCTACTATTGTCATCATATCTTCATCAGTATGATGTTGATTTTGCATTTGAGGCCTAAACAGTGGGACTTGCTTTTTGATTCTGTGCGTGTGAGGTTAATATATAAAGACGTATGACACGGTCTAAAAAACTCCTATAAAATCTGACCTGACATCTCTGACTTTTAAATTACTGTTTCAGGCTAACAGGGTGACTCATAGCAGTGCATGCTGACCATATTTTCTCCTTTAATGCTACCCAGTAATTCTACTTCTTTCAGTTATAACAAAAAGCTTACATAGTGCTGAATGTAATGTATGAAGGCCTTTATATTATTCTCAAATTCAAGTTACATTCTTTTCAAATATTATACTATCAGTTTGGCAAAGTGTTTTTCAATACGTTTATTAACTGTAGCAGTTACCTTTATTTTAACACAACATGTGATATTGATGCCAACAACACAGCAATATATTTCATTGAATTATAACAATTCACTCAAATGCATCACTGTGTTTATAATCCATCAGTTCCTCATACATGGATTAAATCTGACCTCGGACTAAATTGCAATGGCAGTGGTGATTTACTGTTACAAGTTTTTTTAGTTCAAACCTAGGTCTAATCTGAGTCTTGGAAGCTGTCTGGTTGTGTATGGGATAGTGATATTTAACAATAGCTATACATTTAATTTTTATCACAGTTAACTGAAATGTATAAGTAGTCTGTATACTTAACGTGTTGCTTGGTTACACCTTAGGTGTGTGGGTGTAAATTATGTTTGTACTCCTTAAAAAAATTGATATGAAAAGTTAATGAATCTTTTATGGAAAAAAGCAAATCCATGTAAGTGTGCATGGCTGCATATTTAAGTATATTGAAATGCATGTATGTGTGTGGTTATATGTGTGTATGTGCATTGGGACAGAGTGAGAGACGGGATCCGAGCCCGTGAGACATCAGGGGAAAATGAGGTCGACAGGAGACACAATCGATTGGATGCGGCAGTGGAGAACTGCAGCAGTGCTGAGCAGGAACGTGTCCACTGTCCTCTCTGCTGCCTTACACTCACATTCACTCAAAGGCTTTTTGCTCTTTGGCACATTCGAAAAGTTCACTTTTTAAAAAGTAGCACTGAAGTGAGTTCCTGAGTTCCTTGCTGGCTGTAAGGTTTGTACATTAAAAACAGTGGGCATTGTTTCATTATTATTAACAGAACTGTGATTTTTTCACATTTTTAAAGAGCTCATATCATGGAAAACTCACTTTTATTAGATAAGTTTCCATACTGTTCACTTCCCATTCCATACAGTCCATATAGGTAATTTTCACAAAACCGCTTCAAAGCATGTCCATAAGTGTTTGCATATCATCATGCAGATAAAAATGTTCATATCATTTAGTAGGTCAGTTGGGGTGCTGTGTGAAACAGCAGTTTGTGGAGTTCAATTTTCTTTTTTTTTGGCATCATTTACCCCAATTCACGGTACCACAATGCATCCACATAAATTTCTCAGTACCAATATTTATCATTTTATCATTTTTTAATAGAAAAATTAGTTTGTGTTACTTTTATGTGTTGCGTTTCTTTAATGTTTTCCTTGTAAACTGTAAGGATGTAAACCAAAACAAAAAAAATGTTGTGACATGAGTAAAAATGAAAAATC